AATTAATCTCGCCAAGCATAGGAAGTTTTAGTTTTGTACCTGTATCTTCTGCCAGGTGGTGTGGGTTGTTTCTGCAGGTCTTTGGGTATGGGACTAGGTGACTTGGAACGCTGTCTCCTGCCCTGCGCGATATCCTCTTCCTTGCGCTTCCGAGCGGCGTTCTTGGCCTTGTAGTATTCATACAGACCAAGCTTCTCCCATCCCTCACTAAAATCGTAAAAACTGTTACAATGCAATAAATAAGAAACAAATAATTTAAATTCTGCAATCCATTATTTGCTTTTTACATTACTACGTATTTTATTGTTATTAATATACATCATTTTACATAAACAATAAACGTAGACAGAGAAACTAATATAAGCTATAGTAAAACTTACTTGTCTCTGGGCCGCTCGTGATTGGGCGAGGCGTAGAAGGCATCAACAGCCGCCAGTAGCCGGTCATTGGGCGGAGCAGGCGGCGGCAGCCGGATCTTCTCCGGGTCCAGAGGTCGATACCGATCCTCTTCCAACTATAATTCAAATATATATTATAGTGTTTACATTTACATTGATATCACCAAACAAGCAATGATTCTAAACAAAACTTTAAAAACATGTAAATATTAACAACATTCCATGCATTTTTACTTACCTTAACAAATGCTTGTATTAAAATCAATTATCAGTTCTGTAAAGTATTTGTTAGCTATAAAAAGAGAGAATTTTCTTACCATTATTAAAGGCACCATCAGTCCAGCAGGCAACTCAAAGTATGGTACAGAAGGCATTAAGTCTTCGTTATTTATTTCTGGGAATGGCATAAACCCAGGGGGAGGTTTACTAAGATCTGGAAGACCGTTTTGGAATGCTAACATGGGTAGTTTGTCCGGCGGTGTGAAACCGGGAGGCGGCTGGGAGAAATTTACTTTTGGAAGATTTGATAGGTCTGGTTTTTCCATTTCAACAGGTTTCTTATGGGCTATTATTTGATCAAACACTTGACTATCGTAGCTGTTTTCATTCCCACTAATACTGTTGTTAGAAGGGTAATTATCTCCGCTCTCGCTGCCAAACTGATGGCTTGAGTTATAGCTTTGTTCATGAAAGCCCATTGGAGGAAAGTTTGGTTCATTAAAACTATTGTTTTCAAATTGTGGTCCTTGCACAGTTTGCTGATGAGTATTATCTTTATGGTCCTGATTTTGCAATTCCAATGCATGTTTTTGCATCTCCAATTGCTGAATCTGTTGCAGCGTATGAGCGACAAAGGCTTGATGCTGTGATTGATAACTGAAAATGAACCATTGATTTAGCTAAAATTTTAACAGCTAAAATAAAACTAACCACTAAATACATACTTCTCGAAGGTTGACTTGGTTTGTTGTGCGAGGTGTGAGATGGCGTTAGAATGCTGAGTGATCAGGTTGGCCTGATACTCCTGGTAGGAGGAGGTGGGGCTCTTCATTTTCTCAATGACCGCCGGCTCGAAATAGTTCGACTTGGACTCCCACAAGCGGAGCAGCTTGTTAAGTTTCGCCTCCTGTTCCTCGGTGACAGCTGAAACAGATAAATGTTTACATTGTTGTCGCACGAGTCAGTAGACTCAAGCAAGTTACCTGACTGGCGCAAACCACAGGTGATGGTGTTCTAAGGATGCTTAATATTCAAGATGAAAATGCAGAATCGAACAAGAGACCTAAATCTTGAGGACATTATTATAAATATGTTACCTATACTGGCATTGCAAAACATGGGAACCACCACATTTTCCAAATTTTTCTTGAGATCTTCCGCGTTTTTGCGTGCACTGTAATTAGGAATAAGAGCATCATAGACACCGAATAGATAATTGCAGCAAGGGACAGGAAACACAACAGTAGATAATGGAAATTAAAATTATTAACAAAATGTTTACTGAAACTTTAATTAAATAATTTATGTTTCAAATCAACTATTCGATTTACAAACAATACAAGACTCGAGATATACATTTAAATCAACACTAACCTAAAACTAGTTTAAAATAATAATATTACAAATAATAACAAAATCTTACAATATTTTACATAATTATAAACATACGCAAATAATAAATGGGTTTGTTAGCAACAATGTTTTTTTTTTCTCTTAACTTAATGATGAATTAGTAAACAATGATTAACTTAAATCTAACGTAGTAAATATATTTAATTACCAGTGATGGAGCACATCGTTTACGAGGTAAATGATGTGTAGTTTCTGTGTGAATGCTGCTCCCGGCTGGGTCACTTTTCTCAGGAGGTGCTGGGATATCACTTTGCCCGCATCATGTGATGTTGCATGTTGCAAAATCCAACCTTTACCTACAATTAAACCTAATTCTTAGTAAACATTCACAAGAATATTGCAAAAATATCAATATTCAAGTTTTTTGATAAGTAAAATGAATCTATTTTTACATAAGTTGCATATAGTAACAAAATATCTATAAAGATTAAGTGCTTACAATAGGATGCATGGTTAAGTCTACAAAACTACTGATGTTAATTGAGCAAATCTCATACCTAAGTTTGGTTTTCAATCTGATGAAAATATGACTATTTCTAAATTAGACTAACATACAAAAATAAGCTAAAAAATACTACGTTAACATAACAAAAACATAAATCCAACCAAGTAGAAAAAGTAAATTATCACAAACACTTCTTATAAGATACAAACAAAGTAAAATCCTGCTTAACTTGAATGTAATGTAGAAGCATATTGCAGAAAATATTTCATTAGGACCATTTCGGCATCAAATATAATAAATGTTAAATAAATTTGACTTAGTGCTTATAACATCCCTTTTGTATCAATTCAAACTCAACTCCAAAGTAGCATAAGATCCAATGACCCCAAATCTTGTGTAATTTATTTTTTAATACTTAAAAGAAGAATATTTACCTGAAGAAATGCTATCCTTAGTACATGTTTCTATTATAGGTTGTAAAATTGTGTCCAATTCACTGAGATTGATGTTGTTTTCTTCAGCCATAATTTGAATGGTTTCCATTTGCGCCTTGCCCACCAACTCATTGATCTTAGCTTGCTGTTGCTGTATCAACACCTACAATAATTTCATATATTATTTTATGGTCAATAGAATATGTGACAATTTATCTGGCGGGCAAAATTTGAATGTACATTTAAATAAAATACAATTATGATGTGCTGCAAATGTTATAAAAACATATAAAAAAATAATTTTCATCTTGTCTTATTTAGACCTGTGAAATAAATGAATTTTAAAACATGAATAAAGTAGTAATTAATATCATTTACTTTAATATTTATAACTAATATAATAATATTTTTAGTTCAAAAACATTGTACACTACAAGTAACAATTGATGTAAATATAAAAGATTCTTGTTTCAAATAATATCATGCATAATAAGAAATTTGTACCAATAATTAAACAATAGTTTCCATAGAATATTTGTAACTGTCAGCTCATTATGATGTAATACTGTATGCAGATAGTTTATTATGATAAATGTTTTTTTTTTAATATAAAGTCTTACAATGACCATTCTTTTTGTGCCACACAAAATAACTTGATAGTACAGAAAATAAACAGCTTCAAATATTATGTTATATATAGTAATTCATTTCAGAATCCAATTAGAGAAAACAGTAGAGTAACTCAAAATGTATAAATTACTAACCGTATGCTGAGCACTGAGATTGTTTTCCGATTGTGTTATCTGTTCCTTGAGCATGTTGATCTGTACATTGAGGTTGTCGATGTCGTGAGAGTGGTGACCGGGCGCCGGAGGCGGGACGGAGTTGACCGCCAACCATTGCTGGAGTGCCGGCGCCACCGCCATCGTCGCTGCGAGCCCTAGCTGCGCGGCCGTAGCACCGCCCTGTTGGGGCATTACATATTGCCTGTTCTGTGCCATATAAGCCCCGGCGGGCGCGGGAGCAGACTGCCCACCGGCCGATTGCTTTAGAACTATAAACAGCGGAGGTTCACTTGAAACGGTTATCACAACATGCAAACTAGCGATCGGCCGCGACCGCAACATTCTATCTTTGCCATCGGTGATAAATGCTTACTTGCTTGCTCTGTCGTCACTTTATACTGGTAGTAGTTGAAGTACTCCCCGCCGTACAGGAAACTGAACTTAGGGTTGTTTTTTTGTTTGTTTTTCGTCATTTTCTCGAACTCTGGCCCATTTCTCGCCACAAACTGAGCCAATTTGTCTATTATGTTGCGAAGGTCTTGATCTTTAAATTTAAATGTTAGGTATTAAATAGAGTAACTAAGATTTAATAATTTCAACGCAATAGACCAAACATTACCTTGTGGAGGTTGAGGAAGCTCCATTTTTGTTATATTTTTGGAGGTTAATAATAATTTTGTCTCTAATTTTCATGCACCCGATGACAAAAAATATTTGGTGTCATTTTAAAACGAAATAAATATTATTTCACAAAACACACCGTTTAGCGAGGCATAAATTAAAATGTTCCTGTTTATTTGTCACAAAACACTTTAACCGCAGTAACGCGATCAACGTCGGCCATTTGTATTTCCATCACATTTCATTTAAAATCACTCAAAATGCAGAGTATACAAATATACAATAGACCCATAGACATCAATAGAAATATTTAATCGATTGACTTTGACGAGCGTATTTAAATTTTTTTTGGCTCTACTATCTTACAATTTGAATTAATTTCAATCTTTTGAGGTAAATTAATGTTATTCTACCAAGTTGTGTCCTTTATTTTTTTTTATAAATTAATATACAATTTCCACTTGATATTGCATAGGACGTTTTAGATAAAGGTTTGATTGTGTTTTCAATGTTAGCCTGCGGCTTTCCTAGCGAGAGGCAGCAAACGGCATCAAGAAAGAGTTTTAGTCCTGTTATTTAACTTTTAACTTACGTTATAAATAACGATCTTAAAAAACGTATCTTAACGTATCTTAAAAAAAAGGAGTTAATTTTGTTAAAATGGCAATACCGTACAAGATGTATTGATCGCGATCGTGATTCGTGAGTTCATGAGTGAATTGGTTTTGAGCCAAAATAGTTCAATGCAGTCATTCGCTGTATCAAGCAAGGAGTGTCAGATTATTTGGATTCATCAACGTCAATTTCTCAACGTGAATCAATAGTGTCAAAACATTGATTTATAAGAAACTTTAATAAATAAACACAAAAAATGTCTTCATTGGTAAGTTACCTATGGACTAAACAGCCTCTTCTCTTGTTAAAACATTTTTCTAGATAAATACTAAATCACATAAAGAAATTGGGATTATTCATTACTTGACTCATTATATTTGAAAACAGATCTCTATAAAAGCTAACAGTTAAAAAGATTTAATTTTTCCTTAGAAATTAAAAAAATATATATTCATTGATATTTTGCACAGATATAGGAAATTAAATTAGGTATGTTACTATAATTAATGTTATGGTTTCAGCGGATGAAGGCAGCAAAATGCCCCTCTGATGAGCTGGCTGTAACAAATTGTGCTCTCATTAATCCAGACGACTTCCCCAGTGATGTCAAGTAAGTTCAATAATTATACACTTATACATATGTTTTCATGACATACATAAAGTTTATATATACACTTATAATTCATGTCTACACTTATACATAAAGTTTTTTTTTCTATTTGTATTTCAAAATAATTTTTCATGAAGTTCGATCAGTGACTCACCAGAAAATATTGCATTGACACAAAGAAAATTTGTACATATTAGGCTATTTATTCAGTTATTCCATACTGCAATCGTCACAGATTATGCAATCTGTCCTAGATTTTACATTCTGTCTATCACCTATCCTGTATAGTATGAAGGAAACATAAATTATAATATTTTCAGGCACATAGAAATATCTACTGGTCCGTCACACTTTGTCTTCAGTATCAGATTCTACAGTGGTGTGGATCGTGGTACTGTTGGATTTTCAGCACCACAAAGAAAATGGGCTACACTTTCCATTGGCCAAGTAAGTAATAACCTTCTTAATATTATAAATGCAAACATTTAGATTGATATTTGTTATTATGTATCTTTAAATATAGCTCAATGGATCTAGCTGAAAATTTACATAAATGTAGAACATAGTCTGGAAGAATATATAGGCTACTAATTAAGTTTTCTTTAATTTCGTTATTGAGTGAGTTGCATGCGAAATCTAGTTAATTATACAAAGCAATCAGTCTATCTTGTGGGAGATCTATGTTGCTTATAGAATCTGGCTACAATTTCAGAACTGTTTCTACCATAAATATTTGATTTTAGTACTGATGGTAATTATGTAATTTACTGTTGTCTGACCATGCTGAATTAAAAAAATCTTAATTATTAGCCTATGTGTTCTTCCACACTATATTCTACATCTATGCCTAATTTCAGTGAGATCCATGCAGCCCTTCTGGAGATACATACTGTTTAAAAACATCCATCCATCCAAACATTCACATTTATAATATTAGTAAGATAGAAAGATGTAAAATGCTGCTTGCAAACCATCTTGCATTTAACAGTTATAAGAGTTGCAGTGTACAGAGATCGATAAGTTACGTAATGACTTTTGCAGCCTTACGCGCTTATTCTAGACACATGATGAAATAATATTCTTAATCTATTGTTAACTCAATCTTATATATAAAATACTCGTGTCACAATTTTCGTTCCCATACTCCTCCAAAACGGCTGGACCGATTCTCATGAAATTTTGTGAGCATATTGAGTAGGTTTGAGAATCGGCCAACATCTATTTTTAATCCCGCGCGGACGGAGTCGCGGGCGACAGCTAGTATTTAAATAAAATTATTACTACGTTTTTTAAAAAAAAAAGGTTTTTGAAATTATAACTTGTTTTTTTTGTATAATTTAATTGGTTATTTTTTTTGTTATATTATGTATTTTTTTAATTACGTATTTTGTTGCAGCCCATCGACGTGAAACCGTTCAAGCCACAAAACGCAGAATGTTTGTGCAGTGTCACATTAGATGCAGACTTTATGCTGAAAAAAACGTAAGTAAACAATTATAATACTAAACTTATGAAAACATTTTTGAACATCACTCCTTGATATAAGATCAATTAATATTATTATTGTCAAATAAATTATTATTTGCCTAAAAGACACGTAAGATTTTGTTAAAGATTGAAACTCTTATATATAAAATTCTCGTGTCACAATTTTCGTTCCCATACTCCTCCGAAACGGCTTGACCGATTCTCATGAAATTTTGTGAGCATATTGAGTAGGTCTGAGAATTGGCTAACATTTATTTTTAATCCCGCGCGGACGGAGTTACTACAGCTATTTACTAAATAAAAAACCGTATCAATCTATCGTTTACACCACTCTGTATTGCTAATTTGCAGAGTTATTTAATGTGTCAGTCATGTAACGACACGCGAACTTTTATCTCTGTTATGACGTAATTGGAATTAACAGGCAAATTTCCTATCATATGGTTATCAAGTAAGAGCCCAATGATTGCGTGCCTTCGGTTAAGGCGATTTCAATTTAATTCCCAGACTATGTGTAAAAGAGTCATCTGCCGATGATCTAGGCTGGATCATGGCTCGGGGGGGGGGGAACTAGTAGTAAAAATCTTAGTATTTAGTAGTAATTTACTTTTTTACAATTCTTCGATTGTCTAGTTAAAGCAGCTTTCACCTGTCTCTACTGGGTGTCGTCCCATGCCGTGTGCACTATTTACATTTTATTCTTCTAGTTTTTTATACAAAAAAAATACGAAAGATATACGAGAAAAAAATTAGTCATTATATTTTTTTAACTCGTAGAACATCGTTGGAACCGTACGACTCGGAGCAGATGGCGCGCGACTTTCTCATCCAGTTTTCCAACCAGGTGTTCACCGTCGGTCAACAGCTGGCATTCGCCTTCCAGGATAAAAAAGTCTTGTCATTAATTGTAAAGAATCTTGAAGGTAAATTTTAGGCGCAAATATTTTTATTTTGTTGATAATTGGAATATCGTGTAATTATGATATCTAATAATGATGTTAATGACATAATTTTTGTAAAGTACACTTTTAATAATTTTTCCCAAGCTGTGGACGTCCAAGCGTTGGCATCAGGTGCTAACGCGGTCCCGCGTCGCGTAAGGATGGGCAGACTGCTGCCCGATGCCTGCATACAGTTTGATAAAGCTGAGAACTCCTCCCTGAACTTAGTAGGGAAGGCTAAAGGGTAAGTCTTACGTACTAATAAATGCGATATACAATTTTGAACTTTGAACTCTAGCTTTTATGTAAAGCGTGTTGTATTTCTTCATTTATATAGGAAACAGCCTCGTCAATCAATCATCAATCCTGACTGGGACTTTGGCAAAATGGGCATCGGTGGTCTGGATAAAGAATTCAATGCTATCTTCAGACGTGCGTTTGCGTCTCGCGTATTCCCACCAGAAGTTGTCGAACAATTGGGTAAAGCTTTTTTATGTCTTGTCACCATTATTACTTTGGAGTATAAGATACTAAAAATAATTTATCTCTTAGGTTGCAAGCACGTAAAGGGTATTTTATTGTTCGGGCCACCCGGTACTGGTAAAACTCTGATGGCCAGACAGATTGGCAAGATGTTGAACGCCCGCGAACCAAAGATCGTGAACGGTCCGCAAATATTGGACAAATATGTTGGTGAGAGCGAGGCCAATATTCGACGATTGTTTGCCGACGCCGAAGAAGAAGAGAAAAGGGTAAGCATGAAATATAATTATTTCGTATTTCAGTGAATATTACAGCTACCGGTGTTACTTTGCAGGATGGCGGACTGCCGGATTATATTTGTATTGCAAAGTTAAATTTACCAAAAAAATCAGCTCTAGTTATTGCGAGGATCTTGGTACTAAATATTTTGACCAAACCAATACAAGTAACTGCTAATTATTCGATTAATATAGTAATTAGTAATTTTAAAACGGAATATTTAACAAATATAATTTTAACTTTGTTAGTGTGGACCGAACAGCGGGCTGCACATTATAATCTTCGATGAAATCGACGCGATCTGCAAGGCGCGTGGTTCTGTGGGCGGCAACACTGGGGTACACGACACAGTTGTCAACCAGCTGCTCTCCAAAATCGATGGTACAGTATTTAAACTTTATAACGGCTGACAGCGCATGACAATCCAGATTGGATATAATAATTAAGCAAAATGGGGCGCAAGGGATCTTATTTAATAAAAATTATAACGATTTGTCAAGAGATTTATTCAAGATATTATGTAGACTATAACATAAAATTTGACAGACTGTATTCTTTTATGGACAAGACAAGCTAGACATGCTTTATTCCTATTCATTTCTTATTCCACATCTTCCATAGAAGTCGTCAACAGCTAATGTTACCACAGAAAAGCTCGAACCTTAACAAAGTTAGGGGTGACTAGGCCATAGGTCAACCACACTGACTCAGTACAGGTTGACTGCACATATATTTGCAGTTCATCGTAGATATGTGCAGGTATCACGATGTTTTCCTTCACCGTAAAAACCTCAGATTATATTTATGAAATTCTAAAATTGGTACATGAATCGAGGCTGGGCGTATAAATTTGGTCTGGTCAAGCACTTAAAAACGAACCATCGAAGTTCGAAAGTCAATGTGTTTGTTAAGTGAACAGTTCGATATAACTAGGTTATGAATATAGGTGTGGACCAACTGAACAACATCCTGGTGATCGGTATGACGAACAGACGGGACATGATAGACGAGGCGCTGATGCGTCCGGGCAGGCTCGAGGTGCAGATGGAGATAGGTCTGCCGGACGAGACCGGTCGAGTGCAAATCCTCAGCATTCACACCAAGCGCATGCGCGAGTACAAGAAGATCGCTGAAGATGTTGACTGCAAAGTTTGTACTCAATCAATATTACTTACAAAAAATACGACAGCTAACTACAACTAATTCTATGTTATGTTAATAATTTGAGGATAAAAGAGGGTAAGGTAGAATACAAAATAATTATAATATTTGCCTTTCATTATATGTAAAAACTTATTAAAAATTAATACTAGCAATATTCCGTCAGAAATAAATATATGGTATTCGAAAATAAATATATTCTAATAATAGTTTTGACAAAGTTAATATTTTGATATGGTATTTCGATTGCAGGAGCTAGCAGCGCTAACAAAGAACTTCTCTGGTGCGGAGCTGGAGGGTCTGGTGCGCGCGGCGCAGTCCACCGCCATGAACCGGCTGATCAAGGCCTCCAGCAAAGTTGAGGTGGACCCCGAGGCTATGGAGAAGCTCATGGTCGAGCGCACTGACTTCTTACACGCGCTCGAGAATGATATTAAACCGGTAAGACACGATAGAATAATGCACCATAGATAATGGAAAATCAATTTTTTAACAACTATGTTCAAAGTTGCTAATAGTGTAATAATAGGTAAAAAATCAGCCTTTTTTGTTTGCCTCATATGCATATTTTCATAACATTTTAAAACTCGAATGATTTTTCAATATTTTTTTTTACGTTTTTTCGGTAACATCTTAGTAATTTGTTTCCATCAATGATAAATGAATTATATAAATTTGTTAGGCATTCGGTACTGCGGCGGAGGCGCTGGAGCACTTCCTATCGCGCGGCATCATTAACTGGGGCTCCCCGGTCTCCTCGCTGCTGGAGGACGGTCTGCTCTACATACAGCAGGCGCGCGCTACAGAGGCCAGCGGTATTATACTAATTTCTATATAATTATTCGAGATAAAAAAACATTACTTTCAGGCCAACGGATATCGGGCATATATGATGGACACTTTATAAGAAATTGTTAACAAATCGGTTGAATCTAACTGGTATCTGGTTACTTTAAATGGTTAATTAAAATATGAATTTAGTTTTATTAGCAGCAAATCGCAAATATTCGTTATAGGGCCTATGACTCACATTTTAGTAACGTAGTCGACAAAATGTGTTAAAATTTGTACGAGATTGACTTGCTTTATGCCTGAAAGGGGCGCTGTACAAATGTAATACAAATGTCGATGAACTAGAATTTTCGTGCTAGAGACCCTTCTTAATAATTGTTTATTAAGGAACTTTGGAGCGAATAAACATGTGTTGTTGTGCAGGCCTGGTGTCAGTGCTGCTGGAAGGTCCGCCCAACAGCGGCAAGACGGCGCTGGCGGCCGAGCTGGCCAAGCGCTCCGACTTCCCCTTCGTCAAGGTCTGCTCGCCCGAGGATATGGTCGGCTTCACCGAGACTGCCAAGTGCTTGCAGATACGCAAGGTAATATTGCAACTACGTGAAAATTATATTAATTAAATCCAACCGGTGTTTCTACCTACATAACAAACATATGTATTACATACTTCCGTCGTACGGACTTAGCACTTATGTTCCTCAGACTTACGTACTTCGGACCTGTGTACTTTGGACTTGCGTACTTTGGACTTGCGTACCTGGGACTTGCGTACTACGACATATGTACTTTTAACGTGACACATTGCTTTACCTCGTTAGATACGACTAGTACGATTATAAACGGTCGAAATATACGTTAAAACAAATGTGTATACGTTTTATGTATTGCAGTACTTTGACGACGCGTACCGTTCGAGTCTGTCGTGTATCCTGGTGGATAACATCGAGCGGCTGCTGGACTACGGGCCTATCGGACCGCGCTACTCCAACCTGACGCTGCAGGCGTTACTCGTGCTGCTCAAGAAACAGCCGCCCAAGGGTCGCAAGCTGCTCATACTGTGCACCAGCAGCCGCAGGTACATGTACAAGCGAGATAGTTAGCACTAATAGACGTGGATGTCGCCAGGGGGTGGCAATAAGGGAAGCTGGTCCTCTCTAGGTCTTAATAAATACTAAGATTTTTACGATTCATATAAATTTACATAGACAACTAGATAAGTACTTGTCAATTTTTTCCCTAGCTAATAAACATTACTTTGGAATATATTAAAAAATCTACAAGTCTTCCCCTAGATCTAAACTAGATCATCTGCCGGCGATGTCTTTGCTAAAAGAGTTTTTTAGTTCAGATTACTCATACTGATCTGACTCACTACAGCAATTAGTGTTCACACGAGTTTATAGATAAAGTGTTTTATTAGAATTGCTCACAATGAACTTGAGGAACGAAATACGAATACGGTGTCGTGTGACGTCATCACTTAAACACAAATGTAATATTTTTGGACAGACAAGTGCTTGAAGATATGGAAGTGTTGTCGGCGTTTACGGGCGTGTTGCACGTACCCAACCTGTCGCAGCCCGAGCACGTGATGGCAGTGCTTGAGGAAAGCGACGCCTTCTCCAAACGTGACCTCGCCAGGATACAGAGTGACCTCAGAGGAGCCAAGTGAGTATCCACCATAGTAGTTCAAAAACTTACCATGTCTCAGACATGTTTAGAAGTTGTAAGGTTTTTTTTTTTCTTTAATAACTGATTGTATTAAAATTATCTGACAGGATATTCATCGGTATTAAGAAGTTATTGGCGTTAGTCGACATGGTGAAACAGACGGACGAGGACTCGAGAGTGTTCAAATTCCTCACCAAAATGCAAGAGGAGGGCGGGCTGGACCTCGGCACCACCATACAATAAGAAATGTTGCAACCTTAGGGAACAGTCGCGCATACCACACGCCTCTCGCCTTCCACCTCACATGAACATCACAATCCACACGTATCACCCAGAGCACACAGCCCCAAGGTCACAGAATGCACACCCTGCAACTCAGATCTCAGGAGCTACGAGATTGACTACGACGAAGTCAGCGAAAGCGTAGATTCCACCCATAAAAGAGCAAGAATGGCCAAAGGTAATGAAATATCACCATCAAAAATGCCCCTCATGAGAATACGAAGCGTCGAAATAGTCTTTGAAGATGATATGTCTTGTGCCGACACGGCAATACTCGATCGCAGCCTGGAATTGCTTGTATCAGATAGCAGCGATGATTCCACCAAATGTGTTGATGATTTGGATCAGCCCGGAGAAAGAGATGAAAATGATTACTCCGTGACATTGAATGCAGAAGGTGATTTATCCGATGACACATCTATTTCTTCTAGAGATAATATAATCAGTGACAACCAGAAACTTGAAACATCAATTCATCAAGACATTGCTATCCAAAAGACAAATCAGCAAGCTAATGATGATAACACATTATCGCTTAATATATCTGAACTAGGTGATTCCGGTCGCTTTACGGATCCATCATCTAACGACACCGCTGCAGCTGTGACATATAATGATGCTTTGCTTTCTCATTTATTTGATGCCATCAACATTGACGAGTCAACAGTGCATAGTACATTTGAGCTGTCGGAAGTCTGCACTGAAAATGGTAAAACAAAATTATTACTGGAATATATAGAAAGTGACAGCTCGGATAGTACGGCAGTGTGTGAAGAAAATGCTGAAGTGAAAATTTTAACATCTATCCAAAGTGATATTGTTACAGATGAATTGGACTCTGCGTGTGATAGTTACGATCTACAGTATGATTCTTTTGTTGATATGGGTAAATTTTGATTATTACAATCAGTATTAGTGTTATTCTTACATAACAATGTGGGATATATGTTTGTGAAATATATAAATGTTTAATTGTATGTTGAGCAATAATTAGTTTGTTACATTCTGTATAAAGTTTTAGAGTTGTTTGCACATTTATTATGTTGTAAATGTTACAGTTATTTGTGAGCTAATTTACACCCTAATGAACCTATACACAGCTTGTGCACGGAGGCTCGGTGGTATGCAACTCTCAACCATGTCATGTCCTTCCGTTATAATTTCTTAGTAAATCTTCCATAGAGTTGTACATAGATAAATAATTAGTGTTTACGTTCCTTATATGACATGGTTAGAGAAATCCCAGGGTTGTAAGAATAGACAATAGCTCAATATTATAATATTGTATTATAATTTAGCAAGAGTAATATTTATTTACTTTGGATTTTTACTGATGTGATACAGCTTGATGCTGTCTTTTTTGTTTAGATAGATGTATTTGAATATTATTTTACATATTAATGTGGGTTTCCACTGTCGGAACAGTGGTAGAAACAAACGTGTTTTTTATATGAATGATTTGGTAGTGGAATCCTACGTTTATATTAGGTGTAAGGAAACGGTGTCAATGTAGACAGTTTGTTAAATTAATGCAATTTATTAATGCATGGATTTACACATTAGGTGTATTCTGTAAAATTTAATATAGCTCGATTCTTATAAAAATGTTCAAGTACAATTTCAAATTAAAAAGCTTTAGATGTGCGTACTTATGTCTTTGAATATCACTAATATAGCACATAGATTATAATTAAATTGTTTGAAATTTCGATTGTTGTTGAAAAGTAGAATTTCAAATATATATTAATATTGAAAATTTCTTAATTATTAAGTAGGCTTAAATAATCAAGAAGGAATTGATTGTTGCAATACACAATTTAATTCGATATATTCACTGTAGTAAACTATGACAAAATTTATTGCAATATAGAAAAAAGTTTTACCTACTTGTCTGATGAAAAAATAGGCTAAATAAGGCGTGAAATTGGAAATGTTATAAAAAAGTGCACATATGTGCTTGCACAATTTGAAATTTAAACAATATTTGGATTTTAAACCAAAGTAAAATTAATAACATTTCTTAAAATGTGTACTAATTTATTTAGTTTCAATAGTCAATTTCTCTTGTCAAATTCAATATAAGTACATTCAAATTAAATGTCCCAAATGATAAAATATGAAATATTTACTCTATATCGTTATTATGGATTGTTACTGTGGGTTTTCACTGGCAAAACACTTGTATTAAAACATATTCTCTCTCTCATTGTCTATGACTAAACGGAGGTAATAGTGTGCTTTAATATAAATGTTACAGTCAGCGTCATATAGATCGTAACAGACAAGATATGCAAATATATAGGTACATCAAAAGTAATCAATTATATCGGTACAACAAAAGTCCTCAAAATAATAGATACATTCACCCTGCTCAAATACATCGGTACATACACAGCGTCAAATATATGAGTACATGCAAGATGCTCATAAATATCGTAGCAGCCACAGCGTCATAAGTAACGAAGCAGTCAAGGTGCGCAAAAATATCGGTACATTTGACAAAATTGAACTCTATCTCTATATACTTGTGATACAATTTGGAATAAACTACTTCTGTTACATTCATTTGACACTTTGCATCAAACCATTTTTCAAAATTTACTAAAAGTGTTCGACGCGGATGACAGATATTAGGTAGATAAAACCAACATCAAATTTAAGTTTGTCATCATATATGCTAGTTTGGTCTCGTGGCCTTACCGTTCGCCGCCGTTGGTACGTAAGGTCGGCGGTTCAAATCCCAAGCCACTATTTTTTTTTTGATATTTAAACTTTTTAATTTTAATATCGAAGCACATGTAATTAAACTCTATCGCCGTAGTTATTAGGTACTTTTTGATATTGCCTTGGACTAATGAGTTTGACCGTTAAATTACTTTTCTATTTCAAACAAAAATGAAGGAGATAAAGCGATGCTATTGGCATGTAATTTGTTTATTACTCATGTTTGTTAAACTTGTACCGGTAAAAATAACACTTTTACTTTTACCTTTTACTGATACTGATTATATTTAAGAAACAAAGAAAAAAAACTGAATGTCAATATCCAAACTACATCAAATTTTTGGTCGATTGCAATAAACATTCCAGTGTGCATGGGCGCGCACACATATGTAGATAACACTTGTACGTATAGTTTCCGCGCGTACCATTCTTAAAACCCGCAAAGACAATCCACGCTCCGCCCACTCACTTCACCCGCGATGGTCTGACATAATTGTTGTTAACTTTATTTAAATTTCTTTCTACCCAACAGAGAAAATTATAAAAAAAAATGTCGAGCAAAATTTTACATTACCAAATTTTTACTGGTTATGAAAAAATAACCCCGTGATTGATAAAATGAAAAAAAAGTAGCCTGAGATTCGAACCGGTAAACTTACATATTACGGCAAACATACTAGAATACTGCGCCAAACTCGTATTATATATATTGTGACAAGGCAAAATTTGATATTAGTTAATACATATCTGTCATATTCGGCGTGACATACATTTATATTTAAGCGTTATGACAGGAGAAGAAAAATATTGGGTTGCCCAGTAAGTTCGTGCCGCTTTATAAGGAAAATTGAAACCCTGTTCTCTTAAATTTTTGGAAATGATTTTAAATTATATTGGTACGACTCTATATCTAAAACGTCTTTTATTATTGGATAAAATTTTAAAAATTAGTTTTTATCTCAACCAATGAAATGAAATTATTCACAATATAGAAATTTTTGTGACGTTTGATAATGGTGGAAATCCGAAAATGAATCCACTTCAGCTACAGTCTATTGTAAGCTTTATATCGAAAATCAGAACGAACTTTCCGGACAACCTATAATGTTGATACAAAGTGTCAAATGAATATAACAGAAGTAGTTTATTCCAAATTGTATCACAAGTATATAGAGATAGAGTTCAATTTTGTCAAATGTACCGATATTTTTGCGCACCTTGACTGCTTCGTTACTTATGACGCTGTGGCTGCTACGATATTTATGAGCATCTTGCATGTACTCATATATTTGATGCTGTGTATGTACCGATGTATTTGAGCAGGGTGAATGTATCTATTATTTTGAGGACTTTTGTTGTACCGATATAATTGATTACTTTTGGTGTACCTATATATTTGCATATCTTGTCTGTGACGATCTATATGACGCTGACTGTACATCAGTGGAATTTCAAATTTAGTTGTTGCGTTGGATTTGATTTTTTTGTGATGTTAGGATGTACATTCCATTTATGCAATCATGTACTAAAATGACTTTAATATATTTTATTAAAATCAGAGTGTCTAGCTTTTATGCTTATTTGACTCGGTAGAAATGTAGTGTTGCCAGTTAAAATTATATTATCTGTATTCTGAGTGTGACAATGCTAAATATAAAAACTATGTATATTATTGTTTTGTGATTGGCAGACAGTCATTAATGGCTTTTGTTTTTAAAATTCTCTTGATATATATGGTCTAATTAAATTTGTATGGATAAAAATTTCACTTCAGTATTTACCTAAAGTTCTCATAAAGTCCCTTGTTCTAATGCTTCTTTTCACTTAATAAAAAATCTTTGTCAATTTACCCCTAGATGTACTAATAGTGTTAAAATGTTTGAAATTATATACTTAAATAGATTGCTTTATTGAACTCTACTGGTTTTCTGCCATAAATGATGTCTTGCCTTGCCAATAACAATTACTTATTGAAAATAAATCTATTAACAAGTTAACTTGTGTGTTTATTTATTTCATCTATATTATAATAAGTATACTAACACTAAGCAGTATTAAAATTTATGTTTATAACATAGGTTATCTTCAGAATCATTTACAAGTATTAATACATGATCTATGGTTCTTAGGGCATGTTAACGGAAGCGGAATAAACATGGCATTATCTAGAGATATTACAATTTTTTTGAAGAACTAAGAGAATAAAGAATTTATATAAAGGTTTGAAATAATGTGATGATATTGTTTTTATTCATACAAAAGTGCCACATCAGTAATAATGAATGGATTTGCTTAATATAAATATAAAATATGGTTTAACTTAAAAACATATACATAAAAATTATTTTATTGCCTTAAAATTAATTAGCGCTTTCACAAGCATCTACCCAATCATTGTAGACATCAATTGGCTCGGACAAAACATTTGTTGTAGTCTGAAAGTCTTCCAAGCATACCCGACATTGAATTCTAGCCGTATTTCTCGCTCGATCCCTGGAAAATAACAAAAAAGACATTTTTACTGAACATGATAAGTTAAGTTTCCTTTTAATAGTTTATATCAAAAGATCCACTTACATTTTAACTTCACATGACTTTTCATGATTGCAAAAAGGGCAGTTAAATTGCTGATCTAGCGGCTCAATAGCCTTACGTTTTGGCGGCGGCTTTCTTTTTGATTTACGGCGACCCATGGCTGCAAAAATGGAAAAATATTTGGAAAAACATAACACACGCAAATCTTTAGATGATAATGGCGTAAGTTAAGATAGATTTGAGAAACCGACTAAAGGGTTTATCTTACTTTTGTGTCCTTATTTATTTATTTCGATTTAAAATGCTAGCGTTTAAAAAAGCAACAACGGTAAACAATTTTTGCGAATTGTATTATTTTGAGGTTTTTAAGTTAATGTCAATGTCAAAATCAAAAGCTGTCATCTATGTTGCCAGCCTATAAGAACAGTAGTCGGTTAAAAATAAGCGATGAAGGCTTTTGTGATCCCATAGTGCATCTGATGCTGTATCTATGTTGCCTTAAAACTTAACTTGTATCTATGACGGAAGTTGCTTGATGTTTGTCAAGTTGACAGTTATCATTCCAGTTTATACTTTTTCTTAAGTTTGTTCATCATTTCGTGCTTAAATTTGTAATGCCGTGATAGAAGTAGAAATACGCGACGATGTCTGTTAGCTATTTGACTTTGTTTATTACTGTTGTTGTATTATCTAATTGTAAGTTATTGTTTATTTAAATTTTCTTTAATTTATAGCGGTGACGCCCATAACGTTTTGATTTTAATTTCAGTTGATTCAGTCTCATCAGAATGCACAATTCCAATAGTATTGAGAAACACATGGTTTTCATACGAAAATGGACAACAAACTATAACCGATATCAATGCTAGTGAAATGACAGGAAGGTAAACTTAATTAATGAGGACCTTTGTTGGTTATTAAATTTTATTTAATGTAGGTTTTTCATAAAGTATATGAATGATTATTGATTTAAGTTTTTGTATATTTCAGGGGTGTTTGTGTAAATATAAAGGCAGATTACCATGTTAACTATACAATGGTATTTAAATACACAAATTGCTATTACTGTGTGAAATTGATAGCTCGCACAGTAAATGTTCTAGAAAAGATTGAGACTCCTTGTGTAGATGTGGCTCCAGATGAAGAGCCAACTGTTGAGAGAGTGTGTCGCAGTTTGATTCCTGACCAACAGTTTATAACCTTATTCTCTGAAAATTCAGTTCCAGTAAGTATATTTTATTGTGCTTTACATTCTTATTTAGAGACTAGCTAGGCCTGAAGAGGATATGAAAGAAAAAAATGTACATGAATAAAAAATGTTAAGTTATATAAAATTGATATATAAACTTTTTTATTTCTAGGTAAATTGTCGTTCATCACTTGAAGGAGTGTGGCAGTTTGCTTATCAGAACCGGTTTCGTTTTACTGGAGAATGTAACAACCCAGATGCACAGATCAAATCATGTCAAACCGCAGGCACTCAGTTTTTGATCACCAATCAAAAGTTCAATATAACTTATAGAAAGTGTCCTGGAATGTCTGGTACTTTTGATGGTGTGGTTGAATATAGCTGTTTAGGTAAGTATTTGATTATACAAAGTTTAAGATCCCATATGTCAATGCTTCATTTTTTAACTCAATATATTTTCAGGACATTGGTTTGTTGATAAGAACCATTTCTTTGCTGTTGCAAACACGAAAGAGTCACGAAAAGATGAACGATACCGTTGCTTCCTTAAGAACAGAGACGATGATCTTTACATTGGTGCATCTATAACACCGCAGTGCAGCACATTGAAGACTGTAGAAAAATCTCCAGAGAGATATCGTATTACACCAGTTAAGGTAAATTAAGATGTGATTTGTTATTTGATGTTAAACCATTGATTTATCTGCATAGACAGAGATTTAGGTACAATAATATAAACCTAGTAATAAAGAATGCCACTTGTAATTATAAATACCACATAATACAACATTGGTCATACCAAAGAAATAAAATAATATCAGTTGTAATACAACTTTATCACTTTCATCATTAATTTGATTTCTTAAACTATTTGTTTTTCATAAGTGTAACAATTGTCCATATTTTCAGTCTGAAGTGGTTGAACCTGGTTGTCGTTTACCGCAAAACTTCTCCGGAGATTGGATAAATACAGCGAACATTGATGCAGATGTATTTATTAACGAAACACATATCATTGAAACATACTATCCAGATGAAGGTCGATTTAGACGGACTATCTATGTGTGCAGGTATTTCATTATTACACTAAATAAAAATTAAAATATTATAGATGAAAAAGATTAAATACATTAAATCTTGATACTTCAAATAATATTACTTCAAGTGATTTTATTATCGTATTTTTAAGGGAACAACGAGATACTAGGGTTATGATGGCTCGACTTACAGTGGATGGTTGTCAAAAGGATTATGTTTGCTTTGACTTTGTGCCTCAGCACCACAATGTTATAAGGTATAATATTTTAATTTTACTACTATTATAAATGCTAAGGTTTAGATGGATTGTTTAGTTGATGGTTTGTTTCAAGATATCTCGGGAATGGCTCCAATGATCTTGAAATTTGGCACATATGTAGAACATAGTCTACATATTTAATTTTTTAATTTCATGCGAACGGAGTCGCCGGTGACAACTAGCCTAATATAGAAATAAAATTTTAATGTTGTATTTTTTAATTACATTTTTATCAACATTTTCAGGTTCCGTAAAGGTTTGGCAATGATTCAAAGTAATTTCCACACTGTTTGTTCATGGGTACAGTTCCCAAACAAGCAGCAATGGCGATATGATATATTCCTTAAGAAAGACCCATCGCCCATTCGCTGTCCTGTAGCTGGTAAATTTAATTTTACCCAACGAGGAGACGTTAGATTTGAAACTAGGATACTTGGTGGAGTAACTTTGTCCCCTCGTCCAAATCTTTACTGCAAAATCAATATAAGTGATTTCTCAGTATGTGATACTGATCAGAAAACTATACAAATAAAGGAGAATTACTGTCTATCTGTAGATCATTTAGGTAGACCTGTAGATATATACAGTGATCCAGATTACAAGATGAAATGTATTGGATACTGGAAGGAGAATTTGAAATCATATCTTATTACTTACGATGAATTGGATCCTTTCTCCAAATACCGTTGCTGGGTTTATCAGAGAGCAGATTTAAACAGGTAAATATATTTTATTAACAGTGACTATCTGTCGTGAATGGATTCCATTTAAGTGTAACTAATTGTTCCGCGACCAAAATTCCTGCATAAAACACCTTTATTTTGTCAAAGAAATGACAGGGATGAAGATAAGTTTTTTGCAGGGATGTTACTCTCAAAAACTAATCATAAGTGCTTTACTGGAGATTCTTTAAGCACAAACATTGTCAATTTTAGGGTGCTAATGTCTCAAGCATTAGGTCCATATTGTGATTTGAAGCAAGATGTAACATCATGGAACTACACGGAGGGCGCAGCTGTCGCTATAGAAATGGAGGAATACGAAAGAGAACGAGACCAATGCCCAATGCATTTCGATGATGGCAGTGACCCGTGGGCAACTAAAGAAAATTATGTTAAAATATTTACATTCAGTTATTCATTTTGGAAAAATAATGGTGCATCAATGTTGCAAGTAACTAGTTTTCTTTTATTGATAGTTACTTTGACATTTTGTAATCGATTTTTGTAGTGATTATATTTGATATGTAGTTATAGGTATTACCAGTAATGTTTTTAGAGAAAGCTAGGTTTAACTCATAACTTACTAGTTGTGATGTAAAATTTATGTTTAACACATCATGGAATTAAAATAATAATATTTTAAAATCTCTTTACTAAAAATTCCATAGATTTTTGATATTGGTTTATTTTCTCTATTAAAGTAGGAATAATTTCTTATAATCTAATTCATATCGTGAACTTTTACAGTAGTAAATGAACAGTAATTATGTAAATTGTCTTGAGGAACTTAAGCCTTATGCTATGATTTGACAGCAGTTTTTATTATGTTTATGAAAAAGAAATTTCCGATAAGCAATCCCAGTTATAGTAAAAATGTTGTGACAGATAATTATTTATGTATTGTAACTAAACAAGATTATTATATAGCTTTTTATATATATTTAATATTATTACACAATTATTTTATACCCAAACTCCGTCCATATAAGAATTGTTTTTAAGAATTAGTACAAAATCTAGTTTATTATGTTATGTCTTATTTTATATAATTGTCACTTTTTATCTTTATAGTGTAAATAGTGATAAAAGTCAAAAGGTTTACTTTAATTAATTAATGTACATTGTATCAATAAAAGTATTAAAATTACAGCTTGGAATTGTTCTTTTCTAATCAAAATTTTACTAATATTTTTGTCTATTATATCAACTATAATGTAAACTGAATCAATCCGTCCAATAAAATATATTTCTTATTATTTACAATTATTTTTATATTTTTAGAAATAAACAGTTTAAAGAATAATTTGTTTAATTTATTTGTAAGTGTATGTGGAAAAACAAAGATTTCCCATGATATTTTCAGTTACTGTGTCAAGTTACCCTGCAAGTTCATTTTAGTGCAGAAGAAAATATAACATATTCAAAATCGCAAATGAAGAATTGAAGATAAATAAACCTACAAGGTTAAAAAATAAAAAATGACACACTATTGTTAGATTTGTTAATAAAGAAAATTCTGTATTTTTTTAAATTATGTATATTATAATACATGTGAAGGTATGGTATAAGAATGATCGGGTAGCAAATTTTATCCTTCAAACTTTACCCATTTACATTTTTTTAAATAAACAAATATTGAAAAAAGGTGTAACTATTTTGTCCAGGAAACTTTAGGAATATCAAAGTGCTCCGTCAAGCTGTCCAAATGTTGGTTGAACTTTTCTACTCTTTGTTTGTGAGTCATCTCAGCTTTTTGTTGAATCCTTTGTTTTTTCTGTAAAGAAATTAAGTTTAAATATACTGTGATATCATAGTGTTTGCACGGAATATGTTTTTAATAATTTGAAGACAATTTAAATTTTATGTAGAACTGAATTTAAGAATTTAACAGCATTTTTCTATAACCATTTAAAAATTATAATTGCAAAACTTTCAGTTACAATGAAAACGTGATGTGTAACATGAATCTTACCATTTTGTCCTGCATCTTTAAGAAAGCAAGCTCAGCTTTTGTCTTTTCGTTATTGCTTTTGTGATGTTTTATTTGTTCCTTCACTTCATCCTCAATAGCCTTTTCCGTTTCTTTACTCGACTTCTTCTTCTTTTTCTTTTTAATTCCAGAATTATCCTTAATTTTTAACTGCGACCTGTTTACACAAGCGTATTCGTCTTCTTCAACCATTTTAGATTAAAAAGAATCTTTCAAAATATGTTTTTAATAACTTATATACGCAAAAGACAAGTGTGAATTAAGGAAACACTTAGTAAGCGTTAGTATTGGTAAATATTTTGTAACTTTTGTGATTCTTTTACGTTTCTCATCGTTTGTCTTTTTACTGACAAACTGACATGTGACACTGACATTAGACAGTGACGTTCAATAATAGTCTTGCCACCTTTGGTGATTAATAGTGTTTCTGTTCAGTAAGTTGTTTTTTTATAAACCATTATTTTTGGTACGAAATAAAATACGAATTTTCTATGGTCAAGTGATTTTGTTATTGGACAATAAATGAAAGATGTTGTGATAAACGTGAACTAAATCATTCGGCAAACGGGAATCTGCTCATTCTATCGGTGCTCTACCATTTTTGCTGTGCTTATTGTTCGTACTTAAATGTATTATTTTATTTTATCAATGGGACAATTAAAAATGTGTAATATCAGAATTTTACCATAAAACCTACTTACAGAAATGTTCCATGGATCGTGCTGTCGTGGTGTGGCTTAATCACCGTGGATTTCAAATTCAATGCCTTTCATTGCTGCCTATAAAAAGCGGAAACTAAAATATGCAATTATGTTAAGGTTTGTGGTTATTATCTGGCTCTTAATCTTATGGACGAAATTTTGTGAGAAGTTTATTAATGAAAGTTACATCTTACATTCAATGTTATGATTATTTTCAAAAAAACTAACAAACTGAGTCTATTAGATTGTTCTACTAGTCAAAAAACAAAATTCGGCTTAGTTAACTTTCACTGAACGTTTATAAAAAAATTAGTGAATAATATTATTTGAAAATCCAATAAGGTATATGGTATAAGATGAGCACGAGACGAATATCGAATTATCGTTTCTGCTTACTTGCTAAGCTCATTGCGATTATAAGGTTAAGTTCTTACGAATACAGTAGCGAGGGTGGCAGGTTGTAGCAAAATATTATAAATATCTAAGCAATTGTTTGCGACAAAAGAGCGGGAATGAATGGCGTTCCTAGGCGTTATCGCGACGGCGCACGCGCTTTCCCGCCGACGCGTACGGCGCCGAGATTAGTTCGATTGCGCGCCACGTGGCGCCACGTGCCTGTCTACCCTCCAAATAAGATTAACGGATTTGCTCACTACAGATTGCACACGAATGAGCAGGAAGTGTAAAGTGAAACGGCGGTAATGAGATCGCTTTGTGGAATCGCGCGGTCTCTAATAAGATATACGATGCGAATGTCACATCTGAATATGGATGACAAAAACTAGTTTGATTTCAATATTGCCTTTTCATTTCCAAAAAACAAACTTCTATCTGTCATGGAAAGTTAAGTAGGTTGTCTTACCAATGTACACTTAACTAGTCTGTAGGTGACCTCCTACATACTTTCCAAACACTACACAGATACACACTACTTAAGCTATTAACTTTACTTTACTTCAGCTATTGTTGTTTTCCTCCTTTTTGGCTCAATTCGCTCATTTCGCATCTACATATACTCGGGGATTTGGTTTTAAACTTATCTAGATCGTTACTTTTTCCATGATATCTTTTACCATACCATTAAAAAATATAATAGCAACATATTTCACTTTCATTAGAAATCTTGAAAGATAACATGAACAAACCTATATCTAATAATTAGTTGACTGACGATTGGCCAACCATTGCCATTATCATTTCAAACTTGTACATAATAGAAATAAAAGTGTGAACTTATTGTCGAGAACTCTAGTTCACAGTCCTTGAGTTAAATTCTGTTTATACATTAACGCCTTAACATTGATGGCTTTGGCTTAGCACGTCGCATTAGCCGAGTAAATCTGAATGAATCGTCTCGCTGCAGAACAATGGGTGGCCTCTAATAGACATTAATACAGCGTTAGGCGCAGGGCGACGGCACACGCCGGCGACGCCTTGTTTGCCAAACTGCCCTAATCCACTATTTGTAATGTAAGCGCACCATGAGATATGCTTTTATTCGGACAATTTCTCTTTGATAAAGTTGCGAATTATGAATAATGATAAGTAAAATTGGATATAATTAATATATTTTTTAAACTTCGTCATGTATACCGGACATTTTGATAATAATTTCAAAAACATTGGTTAGAAAATGTGCATTGCGAAGAAAAATGCACGTGTTTGTTTATGTCAAATTTCAGCGGGATCCGTTCAGCCGTTTTGGAGATACCTTCAAACAAACATCCATCCATCCATCTAAACATTCATATTTATAATATCAGTAAAATAGTCGTAAGAAAAAAAATATGGTCATCATATAGTTTTGCGCACCGCATTGACTTCTGAGAGGAAATCCCTTTCCCACGAGCTTTATTCAAACATATGTAAAGCGTATGATGGATGACTCCCGCGTCGCCCTCTAGCGGGGGTTAGACGTTTAAATCGCCATCGCTACCCCAATGACTTTGCTGGTCACCAAACGATCATGTTGAAATTTATAATGTAACCTAAACCGAGCAGTTTGTTCTGTGAAAGAGTTTGACACACGACGGAATGATTGCGCTTTTTATTGTTCCGCGCCCAGGGGTTTTGTGTTACAACTTTATTTATTGTAGCCTGAGAAACTTAATAAAATGAAAAATTTGCTTTCCATTCAACGTCAAATGACTGGCCATTACAAATTATAATATGTAGTCTTTATTTTTTTTTGTTTCGAAATAATAATGTAAAATCCAATTTGATTTACGTTTGAAATTATGCGTTCTAGAATGCTATCTGTTTTAGAATGACGTCTCAGTCAATACATGGTTGAATCTTTATAACATTTTTATTCACGTAGGGCAATAGATTTGTGGTAAAGATCACAATAGAAATGGTAGAATTACTTAACAGCTAAACCACAAGGAATATTAAAAAAGTCTTTATTTAATAATACTATAGTAAAAATGTCAGCTTACGAACCGAGGCCGACGAGGCTGACGTTCGAAGTTTTCCCATTAGGCAGCGCGCAGACATTAGCGGCCCTCTTGGCTTCATTAAAATTTGTCAGTCTGTCGTATAGGAACAACTTCTAAATGGATGTAGAAACTTCTCTAAGTGAAACTCGGCTGACGTGAAAACTTTGCCGGATTTCGAGTTGCCACTTTTCTTTTCCGACGCCCATCAATTTTGTAGCACGTCAGGAAGATTTTTCGCACTCTTAATGCGGAAAAAAAGAGTAATTTAAGTTTTTCTTGAGTTCTTCGTTTGCAAGTTATGATCTTTGTTGAGAAAGTTTGATTGATTTATTAAAAAAGTGTGTGGCGTATACTTGAAACTTGGAAGGCTTTTTATTATTTCATACATTTGTGGTTAGGTTTTTTTTTAATAATTGAAGTGTCTTTACAATGATGAAAACAAACTACCAGAGAAAAATGGCTAAAAACTTAAGTCGAGTTGTTTTGTTGTTAACGAACTTGAAAAGTATTGAATAAAAAGAAACAATAGTGTTTGAAAGTAAGCGCCTGCCATTTAAATGACGGCAATCAGTTTCTCGCGGCCACCCCACGGCGGGCGGTTATTGTCCGTTTATGATCGAGGGGGTTAAATGAGCCCTGGGGTATCGCGAGGGTGCCTACGACCCGCCGATAGTTTAGCTTTAAATAACAGATGTAATTGCGTTTGAATCACTGAACGGGATGCTGGATCGAGTGGAAAAATATTGACCGAATTAATTTAATTTACATTTATTAGCTTATAGTGTTATTTTTATAATATAAATTCATACTCAAAACTATGTTTATGGGTATAACCTATAATTAAGCAACGCATAAAACACGTTTTCTATTTACTTTACTGCAAACTGCATTTTATACAGTACATATTGCGGTGCCTTTTTCCACAACATTCTAGAATTTTTACAACTTTAAACTTATTTTGATAGTATTGGGTTTTGGAGAGACGTTATTTTTATTCCAAACTGTTGTAATTACAATGTTTTGTTGTTAAGGAAATAGCAGTCTGTAAAATTACTTTCGACGTATCAATATAAAACTTTTAATATTCAGCAGTCTTACTCTGACTTCATTTTACAGTAAGTGTAATAAAGACGATGATACAATGTATCATAAGACATTAATTAGAAGTGTTCATTAATATTAGTTATTTATAGCTATGTTGGGGGTATCATTGTAGGGGGGGGGGATGTAATGGAGGGCATGATGTAACGGGAGACGCCACTAAATCAGATTTTAGGGCGATACATCCAAGCCGAGTCGTCCGCTGGATATGCGATAAGGTAATGTGTTTTTCCGTAATACACATGCTAATGTGGTTTTCCTACGGCCAGTTACATCGCCACGTGCGATTTTAATGCTAATAAAAAATATAAAATCTCCTTTTAACTTACTTGTGGTAAAAGATAATAATATTTTTGTAACTTACATATTTATTCTACTAGAAATCGGAATGCGGAAGAACAAACATCTATAATTATTGCTCTAAAATTATAGAGTTACTAGCTTTTGCCTGCGACTTCGTCTAGTAGGTTATGTGTTCTTCCAGATTATGTTTATCTATATCTATGCCAAATTTCACCAAGATCCGTTAAGCCGTTCTGGAGGTACCTTCTAACTAGCATCCAGTTATCCATCCATCTTAACTTCACATTTATAATATTAGTAAGATTGAGTTGCGTTGCTACTCTATGTGTATAACAGATAGAGGAGAATAAATGTAATGATGGGAAGATTGCGATTGCATCATCTTAGAAATGCCGAATTATCGGGACCTCACACGTAAACAATTCTGTGAAGTCTTGCAAACAATAACAGACTTGAAAAACAAAACAGATTATCTATTTGGAAGATAAATATTTGTCAAATGTCAAGTAATATCTATTGCCCGTTTTTTCATAGAAGATAATATAATGATCATTTATTACCAAAATAAGCTTACTACATGCCTTTGAAATACGAAACCGGTCTATCTATAAATGTTAAATGACTATGAATATAGTCTCTATTAATATGCCACAGTAATTGATTACCTTTATAAATAGAATAATTATTTAATATTTGTAATTACTAGCTACTTATGTAACAGATGTTCACCTTAACTACTGTTGCTTTTCCTAGGAATTTTAAAAATAGTAAACCAGTGATAAAGGTGATATTAAATGATTTACAAGATTTCTATTTATAT